TGTTAACATCGAATTTATTTTTCAATATAGTCTTGTCTATGTTTCTCGATTACATATTCACCAAATGAATTCCATTGTTTGTGTGTTTTCGTCTATGTTTGAATATTTACAATTTCTATATTGTTTTATTTAATAACACATTGATATTTGACATCAATGACAATAAGATTGATACATGACAATATTCGAATATGTCAAATATTTATATTTGATTTGACACAAATGTTTAGTTATAGTTCGACAATAATAATAAATCAAGTATTTCAAAAAAAATTCTATTGAAAAATTAGTGAGAGAATATTAAATAATAATATTGTTTATCTAAATAAAATTCAATCTAATGAATTTCTAATCAAAGTAAAAGATGCCAAAACCGGTTGAAGATATTTAAATGTTGGTATTGGATAATTGTAATAGATAATGAAATGAAATGAAAATAAATTAATATTAAAAAGTATAGTTGATAATGTGAAATAAAATTAGAAATTGAAAACTGAAGAAAACGTTTTATTGAAAAGAAAAACCCTTGAATAGTTAATAATAGAAAAGCAAACATAGTTTTAATATAATAAATGTTAATGGCAGAAATAAAAATGTTCGATGTAAGTATAAAGAAAAAAGAAAAAGAAAAAATAAAAGTAATGATGATGATAATTGTTAATTGATGAAAACAATTCTTAATCTGTTTTGTTCAAATCACTTTTTTCAATAATATTTTGTGAAGTAGTAGTTCGACTTTCATTTGAACTTTTATCATCAATTGTTTGTTGTTTTGAATTATTTTCTACAGATTTATTCTCATTTGTTAATTGATTTTTATTTTCTTTAGTTTTTGTTTTTTTTTCTGTATTTTGTTTTGTTGGTTTTTCTTGATAAAGATCTTCAATATCATCTTTATATTTTTGTTCAATAGCTTTTCGTTTTAATTTTAATGCATCAGTAACAAGACCTGTTTCAGGTGTCCAACTTTCAGTTACTATTTTGATACGTTGAGGAGTTTCAAATCTTTCAACTCCACCTTTTTTACAAGCATCTTGAATTACTTTAAGAATTTGTTCAGTAAATTCTTCATCATCAACTAATTTTTGCCATTCTTTTTCATCGAAATGTCTTTCCGTATAATTCTATATTAAAAAAAAAAGAAACAAAAATAAATAATCAACTTATTAACTAAAATAAAAGCTAAATTTGAACATTGTTAATCGTTTATTAGTAAACAGGTATGTTTACTTTAGTTTGTTTAAATATCTATGATTCAATATTGTAATCAATTGTTATTCGATAGTTTTAGTTTCAAAGTGAACAACTATTATAAATCAACGATCGGATGATTCGACTAACTGAAAACTAATATAATTTAACGATAATAGAGAACCTTGTTTTTTTTTCTTGAGAATATTTAATTCAATCGAATGTTATTTAATAATAAGCAACATAATAACTATGTCTTGTTGGCTTTCTATAAAAATATCTCTACAGACTAGAAATCAGTGATTATTATTATAAAATAAATTCATTGAAACAATTCGATTTGTAAAGAAAATAATGTTTTAACTAATGTCGATATTCTATTCAATATATATGATATAAATATTACAAAACAAAAATAAGATCAATTTAATGAATTATTATTTATGAATTAAATTGCAAAAAAGAATAATTATTTATATAAAAATAAATATAAAATAAAATTTGAATAGAATTAAATAAACTTACAGACATTTGTTTTGCATTTGGACAAATAAGTGCAACTGTATGTTCTGATGAATGTGATGCACATACACAACTATTTTCAATAATGGGTATTTTACTTATTGCCATTTCAACTTTTGTTAATGATACATATTCTCCACCACGTAATTTAACCAAATCTTTTTTTCGATCTAAATGTTTTTTTTGATTTATAAATAAATAAATAAATAAACAAAAAACGAACCAATAATTTTAAATGTTCCATCAGGAAAATATTCTCCAATATCTCCTGTTGAAAAATATCTTTGTCCATCAATTGTTTTAAAATTAATATTTTCCTTGGCTGCATCAGCAAAATATCCCTCAGCAACAACTTTTCCACCGATAAGAATTTCTCCACGTGGATTTGGTTTATCGGTATTTCTATATTGACCTTCATCCCAATCTTCTAAACGAATTTCACATGAAACAAGTGGAAAACCTGCACGACCAATTGTTATATCATATTCTTAAAAACAAAAACAAACAAAAAAAGTTAATATATTATTTAAAAGAAATAAATTATATTCGATACAAACGATCAGCTATAGTTCCAGCTGCACATGTTTCAGTAAGACCATAACCTTGAAATAGTGTAACACAAAGTGCAGCTTGGACAAAACGTTGAGTATCTTCACTTAAAACAGCTCCACCACATAACATTGTTTTAACTCGACCACCAAGAACCAATTGATTAAAACGAGAAAATATTAATCTAAACAATTATTTATTTATTTAAAAAAAAAAAAACTCTAATTAAAATCTAACCTATCAAGATGTGGACTTTCAAGACCAAGTTCTAAACGTTTAACTTTCATTTTATATGATAAATGAAATAATTGACGTTGAATAATATTTGATTGATTGATTTTTTCATTAACTGCTTTATGAACACGGTCAAGAATTGTCTTTTTAAATAAATATTATTTAATGAATTTGCTTTTTTTTTTTAATATAAATTTATTTTTTCTTACAGGTACGCAACACATTAAATGTGGTCGAAGAACTTGTAAATCTCCTTTTTGACCACGTTTTATAGCTGTTGATTGATCAGTTAACGTTTGAGGTGATGAATAACCACATTTAATACCCAAGTAGAATATAAGAATTTCTATTTTATTTTAATTAATTAAAATTTTTTTTTATTTCAAATAAATAAATAAACGCACCACAGCATAGTTCAAGAATATGAGCTAATGGTAAATAAGCTATATATACATCATTGTCAACATCAACCATTGGAAAAACACGTTCTTTTTGACCAGTCATCGCAGCAACGATATTTTCATGTTTTATTAATACACCTAGATATTTAAAGAAACGCTTTTTTTTTTTTTATAAAAATTAAATTCTCTATAAGATTAATTAACAAACAGAACAAAAACCTATTAAAATCATATGACTAAAATATATTCATTGAGACTTAAGATAATATCGATTATTCTACTAAACGAAAATGATTTATTTACAATGATTATTTATTTTCAAACTTCTCTTTTTTTCTTCTACTATATTTTAACAATTAAAACAAATTTAAAAGATTTTTTTTAATAAATAAATAAATTGTTTTTAGAAAAATGAGTCAAATATAAAATAAAGAAATATTCAATATATATAATAAACATGAACAGACTAATTTAAACTTATTAATCTTACAATCGATTAATTTCATTTATTATTAACAATCTTCTCTAATCAACTTTTCATCTATTCACCATATATAGATACTAAATAAAATAGATTTCAAACAAATCTATAACGCTTAATAAATGCCAACTTTTTTTATGTTAAATATATTTGAATCCGATTTCCATATGTCTACTCTTAATCATTAACTATAAATCGAACTATATTGTAGACAAGCTTTTTTTTTCCATGTAGAAAAAATAAAATATCGAAAGATAAAAATTTGTAAATAATTATGTCAAATTAGTATAGATCGATGAAAATGAATTAAATATAGATTAGGTTTAAATATAGTAAAATTAATTATAAAAAATATTAACATAATCATCACTATTTTTTAAGAATTATCGATATTAACAATTAAATTAAAAAATAATTAACATTATTTTAATTAATTCTCTATAGAATTAAAACAAATTGAATCAAACAATAAACAATACTCGATGACAGTTTCATTGGCTTATTCTAAATGTCTCGTTATTTTTCAGGAAAAGATCTTTCTCTCACTGAATAAATTATGAAAAACGCGTCTCTTTTTCTAAAATCTATATCTTATTCCAGACTTCATTTATACTAATTGAGTAGTTATGTCGCACAGAGAAAAATCTAGTATCTAATTTTCGTAGAATTTCTTGTTGTATTAAAGTATGAGCATCGACTAGAATGAATAGATCTTTTTCGAAAATCTTTACTTAAGAAATAATGTAAAATATTATCGCAAATGACAAGTTTTATCTTTATAGGACAAGAGATGAAAATCTTTACTTTCCACTAGAATGACACAAATCTGAACATTTTTGTTTTTGTTGTTCCTAACATTTTTTCCAATGTCTTAACAAGATGAAATAAATTATTTTTTTTTAGAAAATATTTGTCGATTAACAAAAGTATATTTAACATAATGATTTATTTTGAGTAAATATAAATATTATTTNATATAAAATACAGTGATTAACTTCCATCATAGATAATCTTCGTCCCCTATCAAGCATAGTTGACATATTTCATATTGACTTGAGTTTTTAATGAGCAAAATACTTTGTTACTTTAGACACAGTTTCACTCCCCACCCCAATACTGTGTGTGTGAGCTACAATCATAAGTGTATTGAATGTGTTTAAAGTAAAAAAAAAGTCAAATGGAGCAATGTGAAATGATCCGACTTTTGTTAAGTCTTACTCTAGATTGTCCAAGCATTTTCTTTTTTTTCTCATCGATTGTGTCGCCAAAGGCTCTCATCATATGATTGTTTCTAATTGGTGGCTAAAGAAGGAAGGTATGAGTCATATGCTTCTTTATTTTCGAGGGAAAGAAGAGAAGGATAATCATTTATTTAAATAAAATTCTTGATATAATTGTGACTTTGTTTAAAGAGAAATGATGAAAATTCGATCTTGTTCAAATATAATTCATCGTTATCAATCAACATCATCTGTCGTTTCTAGTAGTCGTTTAACAAATGATGAAATTCGTGCTCATCGTCTTCGAGTATTTGCCAATGAACGTCAAACTCAAATGGAACGTATTCGTCGTGTAGAAAAAATTGAAATTGATGTTCATGATCCAATTCAATCAAGAAAATTATTAATGAATAAAGATTTGTCAACACCCTATCAATGTGCTCAACATTTATCGTCAGTTTTAGCTGATCGATCTTGTTTAGCTTTAATTGATGATCAATATATATGGGATATGAATCGTCCATTAGAACGTGATTGTACATTAAAATTTCTTCATTTTATGGAAGATAAATGTGAAGAACAAAATCGTGCTTATTGGCGAACATGTTCATTTATTATTGGATATATACTCGAAACAGCTTTTAAATCGAATTATAATGTTGAACTTTGTTCATTTCCACCACCACAATTTCAATATGGATCATTTGCTTATGATGCTAAACTTAATCTAGGTATTAAATAGAAAAAAAAAATAATTAAATTAATTGACTAATATAGTTTTTCTTTTGTTATTCTAGGAGATTGGCAACCAAGTCGTGATGATCTTCGTTGTTTATCAATTCAAGCATATAAATTACGTGATCTTGATCTTCGTTTTGAATGTTTAAATATAAGTAAATCAGTAGCTGAAGAAATGTTTACATATGATAGATTTAAATTAGCTCAAATTCCTCATATGCTTCGTTTAATATCGCCGGATGATAATCAAGCTCGTTTAACTGTTTATAGAATGGGTGATTGTCATGTTGATATAAGTCGTGGACCATTAATATCATCAACAAAACAAATAGGAAGATTTGAATTTAGTGCTATTTATAATATTGATGTTCCATCTTATGGTGAACAAATACAACGTGTTCAAGCACTTTCAATTCCTAATCAACTTAATTTACATTATTGGACTTTTGATTTTTTATTAGAGCGAGCAAAAAAGAAAAATCGAGCATCAATACCAACTTTAGCAAAAACAATAACATCAGAAAATAAAACAGAACAAGTTGAATAGTTAATTATTTCAGTAAAAAAAAAATTCATTGTTGATTTTTCTACGTTGTTCTACTTTAAGTAAAAATTGTTTTCTTTGAACAAAGTCGAATATTCTCTCTTTGTTTATTGAATCGAGAAAAAAAAAATATTTCAACTGAAATATTGATTAATTTCTTTTAGACAAACAAAGAGAAATATCACTTTTTTCCTTAACGATTTTTCTGTTTTTCTTTTAGATACATTGGCTTTTTTCTATTTCAATGTCACGTTGTTTAAATTGATGGTATCGATTTTAAACGACCACGTAAAAGGTACATTATTCTTATTCATTATATAAAAGCAATATTCAGATAAAAATCATTTAATTACTTTGTCAAACTTTTAGTTCATTGAGAAAAAAAAACACTTTATGAAATAAAATAACCTTGTAGATAAAGTCTCGTCAATATTTAAATGTTAGTAATAGAGAAGAGATTCGTTTTGACGTTTTGCATCAATTGTCAATTAAGTTTCGACTTCTTTTACATGAATAGTAGATGTTTATCTCTTACCCATTTTCTCTTCTTCATAAATTGGACATTTTTACTATTTTCTGTATTACCTTTACAGAAGAAAAAAAAAGAAAATATGAAAAATAACTAGACAATATTATAAACATTCTTTCTTTTTTGTCTATGCAACTGATAGACAGAGTCAGCCTACACACATTATTTGTGTGTAAATTTTATTTTCATAATAGAAGATCAACTTGATCGTCTTACATCAATATTTCTCTTTTTGTATTTTGAAAACAATACATGATTGTTCTATTTTTCTTTTTTTTAATGTTAAAGTAAGTACAATCACTAATGAAAAAAAAAAATTTATTTTAGATCTGAAATTTTTTATTTTTATATGTGCAATAAAACTCAGGGATTATTAATCTTGAAGAAGATTTCTATAAATAAAATTTATCCTTATTGATTATCATAAAAAGTGTCGAGTAAATAAAATGTATGTCAATTAAGATGATTTTATTATTTATAATTTGAATTTTTTATTGATTTAAGTTAATTGAAATAAAAAGTAATGTCAAATGAAGTATTATCATCATTGAATGAATCATCGATAAAAATTGATATGCCTTCTCCTATTCGTCGAGTTGCTGTTGATGTTTTATCATCGATTCCACAAGACAATATTAGTTCAAATGAACAAATTCATATAAATACAAATATATCTTATCCATCAATTTCAATAACAAAAACAAATAACAATTCTTATGATTTTATAAAACAATCAATCGACAAAAGTCATAATGAATCAGCAGAAATTTTACGTGAACGTTCAACAAGTTCAAGTAGTACATCAAGTTCTTCATCAAAAATATCAAATAATCATTCATTAAGATCTTATTCTGCTGATCTTTCTGTTAATCAAGATGATGATGATTATGATGATGCAACTAGTTATGATGATAATAATCATCAATGGGATTTCGATCAACAACTATTAAATATCCCATTAAGACAATTAAGTTAGTTATTTGACATTATTTTTTGAAATGATATTTATGAAGAAAAAAATGACAAATTATAGTTATGAATAACTACTAAGAAAATGATACTAAATAAAGTTGAAAAAAATTTTCCGGACGAGAAATAGTAACTTTCAAGTTCAGTGATGCGAATTCAAAATTTCTCTATAAATTTTTAATTTAGTTAAAATAAAGTGAAAATAAAGATATGTATTTCACATTGATTTGCTTCATATACGAATGATAAGAATCAAAGAGTTTAGTGAAATTTTAAAAACTATCATTATTTTGTTATAATAGATTCTCCCTAACTAAAAAGATTAACTTTTAAAGTTCGATTTATGTAGGGACGCATAAAAAATAATGGTAAAAAAGTGGACAATTATAGTGAAAAACTGTTTTTTCAGTTTGATTAACTGATTTCTTCAGGAGGCGAGCAAATATAAAATTCTTGCAGCATAGAGACAACAACTTTTCACTAGCTTCACAATAAATCAATCGACGACGTGAAGGTACTTCAACTGTATTTTAATAAAACAACGTTAAAAAATCGTCTATTTTCTTGCCCCATCGTATTTCATATATTAATTAATTAGAAATTAAGATGGAAATATATTTTCTTTAAAATTTAAATGAATATTTTAGTGATTCGTGATTCATTATCATTATATGATGATAGTCGAATTGGTCGAATAGCAGTGAGTGAATGTCAAATATGTTTTGAAGAATTATCAATTGAACCATTATCTTGTTGTTCTTCTTCAATATGTTCAAAATGTGTTTATCTTCATTTGTCATCAAATATACGTGAAGCTCGTATTCGTATATTATGTCCATCATGTCCACATATATTTACTCGTGAAGAAATTTTATCATTATTATCTGTTTATGATAATGATGGAAATCTAGCAGAACGATATAAACGTTATTATGCTGATATAAATGGTGAAGCACATATAAAAACATGTCCTCGTTGTTGTTCAATAAAAGAAATCGATAAACGTTTATTTCATGGTGTTCGTTGGAAAAAAAATATTCCTCGAAGAGTTGTTTGTAATGAATGTCAATTTGAATGGTGTTTTTATTGTCATGCACCATGGCACGAGAAAATGACTTGTAAAGAATATCTTGAAGGAGAAAAAATGCTTCGATTATGGGCATCACAAATCGATGAAAATCAACATAATGCACAAAAATGTCCTCGTTGTAAAGTTAGTTTATCAAGACAAGAAAAGAAAAATATTTGTTTTATTAAAAATATATTTTAGATATATATATCTCGAAGTGGTGGTTGTCCACATATGGTTTGTTCGAAATGTCAATGTGATTTTTGCTATAATTGTGGTAGACGACGATTCGGTATGAAATTTTTGGGTTCACATGAAAGTCGATTTTCTCCTTTGGGATGTAAATATAATTTATATCCAGATAAACCATTAATTCGTCATACAGTTCGCGGATTAGTTGCTGGTGCTGCAACACTAGCGCTACCAGTGGCAGCTGTAGGCGCTGTCGCATTATTAGCTGTAGGTACAACAATAGGTGCACCAACTTATGGAACATATCGTTTAGTTAAACATATCCGTACGAAACGACAAGAACGTCGTCGAAGAGATCATATGGCAACAATATCTAGACAATCGGCGACTAATGATAGCCTATCAACGTACATTAATGGTGCTTATGATCCGAATACATAAACTGATTATATACAAAGAGCCGTTCAAGCTAGTTTAATTACATACAGAGAAGAAATAGCTAGAAGAGAACAAAGAGAAGTTACACCGTACCCAAGCAGACATCTTAATCATTTCAACCAAAATGATGATGATGATGATAGCGTTGATGATTGATTCTTCTCATTCTGTCAGTAGTTTTGTATTTATACAAAGGAGAATATATAATTCTCCTTGTTCAAATTTCTTCGCAATTGTTTCATATTATTTTTCTCGAAAAAACATCATAATCGTTCTTTTTAGCTTCAAGGTGATTTTTTTCTCTTCTTCTTTTGATGTATCTCTATTATTTGTGACCAATTCTATTTTTTCTTTCTCTCGAACTTTAAATGTAAATAGTCAAAATGAAATCATTTGTGAATATTTTCTTTCATTTATGTTTAAAAGGAAAGAATAAAGATTCTTTATTTGATGTATATTATTCTTATTGCTTTTTAATTAATAAAGATAAATGGCAAAGTAAATACCATTCTCTAATAAATACTATGATGATAATTAATACTTGATATAAGAGAGTTAGGTATTAGTCAGTTATGTTAACACTCCAAACGTCCATTTTTTTCAAGACCTATCAAAATCAGTCTCACGAGCACAAAATCTACTTTCTGAGGCGTACAAGTGAAATCTCTAAATAATTTTCGTTCAGAAAAAGCTTTCTGAAGGTATTTGAGCTTGGTTTTAAAATTATTCGGAAATAGCAATTCAAAAATGATGTTACGAATGTTTGTGTGGCTAGGCTAGATTCAATGAGTTTTGCTGAAAGTTCTAGTTTTTTATGATTCATAAAAAGTAGATACTAATGAGAGTAATCTTGATAGGTCGTGACAAATTCGATATTTGGAACGTGAGTATAAGTTACAAGTACCCAAGAAAATTCATGTTTGTTACAGGAGATTGTATTTACAAGTATTGTAATCAATCTTAGATGAGATAATATTTCACGAGAGTAAAAGGCTTACGAAGTATAATTAAATATGGAAGATACTCTTATTTGCTCGTAAAGAAAACCTCTTTTGAATCATTGATTTTGTTGGGATACGTTTGACTAGTTTCAACACTCTTTGGCACATTTTAATTCGGCTTATTATTTAAAGATCACGTAAAATTTTCTGATGAAGTCTAGAATAAAAAAGAACCAGAGATTTGCCAATGTTTTTAGCTTGTTATTAAACAGTACGATTGTCAAAGCATCATACACAATATCAATAATTGTTTTCAGTTACATCGCTAACTTATGAATGCTTGATCTCTGCTTTTATTAGATACATAATGTAGCAGTGCAATAATCTCTTGAACTAATTTTCGTAGATACCACTCTCCTGGTTGTTGAGAATGATCTGTTATTATAGATATTTTTATAATCACTGAAAGAATTCTCACTCGATGAATGTGTCAACTGTTTAGTTTTCCAGAACAAGACGATGGTGGCGGCATTTTAGTTAGTGAAACATTGCTGTCAAGTGTGATATGCATAGTTGTGGCATGCAAACGTACAGTGGTTATTGTTAAACAAAATGCATTTGTTCAAAGATCATAATAAGTCGCTTGTGCATCAATACACATACACAACTGACTGTCAAAGCGTTGAAACTGTTGAGAATCGAAAGTAAAGTAATGCGATTTATATATATTAATGACAAGTTTTGTATCAAGATTGATCGGATCAAAGACGGCGTTCATGATTATGGAGAGAATGAATTAATTAATTCTACTCTGAATTATTAAAAATGCAACAATGTTCAAATTCTGTCGCACGAAAAAATATGTTTCTTTATTGATTGAGTTTCTAGGCAGTTTTGAATGAGAGCTTTCGATAATCTAACTGAACTGTAAACGATTGCTTGATCTGAAAACATTTAGTTTCACATTGGTGGAAATTACGAAAGTCTGATTATACTTGATTCTTAGTATTATTATCTTGTTTTCAGGTATTAAGCTAGTCTATTCATTCACATTTGACTTTTGTAGATGGCATCATGGTTCACATGATACCAGTTGTATGTTCACTAACGGTACCAGATTAATTCAGTCCACTTTCGTTATGCATAACATCAACATATAGCCAATTTGATGAGCAATTTTATTTGGTAATTAATGGTTCAATGATCGAGATTCTGAAGCTTTGCGTTCATTTTGTGCATTGAAAGTATGATTTATCCTTATGGAATATGGTAACATGAAATAAAGTGAGAAAATCGTTCGATAATTGTGAAGAGGCTCAATATTTAGTTTCCTGATTGGAAAAATATCATGACCTAACTCATATTGTTCATTCTGTGACGCTGAAAGTTGCTTACTGTCGATTAGAACGATTAGATATTTTTTGAGGACTTTTACTGAAATTCATTGAAGTCCTAGTATTACTCATTGGAGATATAACAAAAAAAGAAGATATTAGAGGTATAGGAGCTATTGGAGATAGTACGGTACTTTGTGTCTGTTCTCATGTCATCCTCAGCTAGGGCGATACCATGTCGTCTGCACTTGGTGAAAGTCTTACACCTCTCCTTTACACTCAATGTATATGTATAGATATCGAATATTTCCTATATCTGATTGTTGAACAAGTATACCTAGACTTGAATGAATTTCTCCTCGAAATTCATTGAAGACGTCATATGGTGTTAATCGAAAGAATTTGAAGAAGCCAGCAGTGAACTCACTTATGTATTTAATAATGAACTTGTTACTAATATGATACTATCAGAAATCGTAGTCTCATCACTATTTTACACTTAGAAGAAGTCATGTATTCGAGTATCTGTTGTTACACATAGGACTGCACTTGAAGATTATCACATTTCTTTTCATAGTCTTTTCTTTATATATCATCCCATGTAGTGAAAACCGGAAGAAAACCGGCGGTTTACTACGGTTTTACCGATCCGGTTACCGGCTCTCATACAGCGGAAAACCGGTATTTTTTTCCGGTTAACCGCGGTTGTTTTCGGTTTACCACTACTTTTTTCCGGTTTACCGCTAAAAATGATCCGATTTTTACGACATGGGATGTTTAAAATCAAGCGTATTCTAAGTTGAAAATTTGAATAATCTATTATTTATTTTTCTTTCGAACAATAATCAGATCCGTTTCGTAGTGTAAAATTTGAAACTTAAACTGAAATGAGTTTTCAATTTTCAAATCTTAATATTAAAACTTTTAATATGTCCTAAATACCTGCCAGCATGCTCATGCAGATATAAAGTCATTTCAGTTGAAAGTTGAAACCAAAAAAAGTGTATTTAATTCAACTTTCAAGTTCGACATATATGAATAAGGATACAATCAAAACATAGTCGCATATGATTTAAAGTATTTTTATCTCCATTAATTCCTTCGACAATTATTATTTTCATAGTATAATCGCTAGAAATCTACAACAAAACTTGTTGTTCGATAGCACAAATAGTACGAACAAAATACACTTCTTCGACAATAACAATCTGAACGCCACGTATTCAATTTACAAAACACAAACAGTTTTCATCACATCTCTTAATGTCTTACAATTGGTTATCGAATAAAACAAGATCTATCGAAACGCATAAATGTGACTAATTAGCTATGGCATTATTATCGTAATTCATTTTAATTTTTTCTTTCAAACTTAGTAATGTATAACTTCTATCACGGTTAAATACTAAAACCAACTTCCAAAAACTGTTTTTCTGTTATGATAAATAAAATATTTTAGAATGAATAATTAACTGCAACAAATATAACAATATGGTGACATCAATCGGCTTTGTCCATGTAAGCAAGCTGAAACATAGTATTGTCCACTTTCATTTGATGCAATCTTACTGTTCTAGAATTAATAATATCTGTTCTTTCACTTTACTGCGTGCTGATCTCCTAATTTTTTTCCATTCTTCTATAACACTTAGATACATCTTTGCATGTGTACATGCTTGTTGTTCAGTGTTCTAGCCATCATGATAAAATAATTAATTACATGCCTTCGCTTATTATCACATATACGAATATTATTTATATTGATGATAATGATGACAAGTCTAATGCACAATCGACGATGGTCCGAGGCAGCCAACTTCTGAAGAGATGGCAGAAGGAGAAGTCGTTGATTCTCTGAGGGATGATGAAAATGTTTTCTAACCGAAGGCAAGAAAAAATTATTTCATTGGGAAAATGCGACAACTTTCCTAGGTAAGAAAGGATATATTACACCATAAACACCTCTTTCGGTTTATGTGACCACTGTGTACAATCAAGCAAAAATGTTTCAATGGACGATGCGGTCATTGCTAGAAGAAAGCATCTTAATGAATTTGTTTTTCGTATCTCAATCATAATATAAATGCTTTATTGAAGCAACTTCAAAGTTGACAAAATGAATGAGATTAAAAAAATTTCTATTAATAATACTTTATTTCATTACAAACTTGATGTTATATATGAACTAGTTACACAACAGGACCTACTACTTAATTTTGATAACATCGATTCTGCTTCGCATCATGCATCGAGAAGTATATAAATTGATAAAACATTATCATTGTTAGATAATCTTACATATGAAAACGAAAATTTAACAAAAACTAATGGAAAATTAGTTATTATCGATAATCATTCTCAATCATTAAAAGAATTACTCGCAGATGAATCTATCGCATAGAAAAGAGTTACATCTTGCATTTTCAATCATACTTAACAAATATTATGGAAGAACAAAATCAAATATATGACTGAAATTATGGCTCAAATATGTGTGAAAAGACAATGCCTAATTTACAGAAATTTCTTAAGTTAACTCGCTCAGTGATAAGAATGAATCAACGTTACCAGAACGAATGGAAAGAAAATTTTTTATGGAAATTAGGAAGAGAACATGTCTTTATTGTATATATTACAACTATATTTATTGATGTTGTTTATTTCGGTGATCAACACGAAGAGACTAATATTCAAGATGGCAACATGATTTTTATGGTTAACGATGCTC